CACATCATACACCAGCTGTCCTGTATTGTAATAGTGGGACTGTTAAACGCACCCACACAACACACCAGCTGTCCTGTATTGTAATAGTGGGACTGTTAAACGCACCCACACAACACACCAGCTGTCCTGTATTGTAATAGTAAGACTGTTAAACGCACCCACACCATACACCAGCTGTCCTGTATTGTAATAGTGGAACTGTTGTCCTGTGTGGCACCTGTGTGTGAATTTCGTTGACATAGACCTAACCAACCTCATCTCACCCACAGTCCACCAACGTAGTCAACATCCCCAGCATAGACCTGTACAACCTCGAGCGCCTTAACCACGGGTTTCTGCAGTACGACGGCTACTACAACTACAGCACCGTCGGCGTCAATGAGGAGCCTATGATCGACGTCTATGTGTTTGACACAGGCATTACATTAGACCACACAGACTTCCAGGGACGCGCATACGACGGACTAGACACCATCAACGAATTCCCATCGGGCGATAACAACGGTATGCGAATGCGTTCAAAACGTTTTCTAGGGGCAGCGAATGAGACGGCGACGATTGGGCGTGTGTGTTGTTGTTGTTGTTCTTGTTCTTGTTCGTATACTTCATTAGTTAAACTGTTGGTATAGTTCATTAGTTAAGTTGTTGGTATAGTTCATTAGTTAAGTTGTTGGTATAGTTCATTAGTTAAGTTGTTGGTATAGTTCATTAGTTAAGTTGTTGGTATAGTTCATTAGTTAAGTTGTTGGTATAGTTCATTAGTTAAGTTGTTGGTATAGTTCATTAGTTAAGTCGTTGGTATAGTCCATTAGTTATCCATTCTACTCATTCTATCCATTTCGTTTAGTCTGATTTTTCTGTTTTGTTATATTTTATTATTTGGTATTATATTAACATTATTATTGTCAATTTTTATTATTAATTATTATTATTTTATTTTATTTTATTGTTAGGACACGGCACGCACGTGGCAGGCATTGTTGGTGGACGCACTTTCGGTGCTGCGAAGAACGTCAATCTCATCTCCGTCAAGGTTTGTGCCCTCTCTGCATAGCCGTTAACCTACTCACTATCCTTTGCTTAACTCTTTAAAGTGCTCAATTATTTTCCAC